TCAAACATCCACTTTATGTACGTTTAAACATTAAAATATTGTTTTGGATGAATAAGTTGCATTTACAAAAGGTGAACAATATAACATACTACCGACGCCCCCCCCCCCCACACACACACACACAAAAACCCCAAAACAAAACAAAACAATTTGCAGTGTGGCGTGAATTCGTCCACAACGTACTTTTCAGTATGAGTGAATATACGCGTCGAATTTGTGTATTAAACGTTAAAAAACCCAACATAATTAAATATTTATAATATCCAAATAAACAGTCACTTTAGTCTGATTCTCACCCAAACGACGACATGTGAACAAAATACATCAGCAAATATGTCAAATCTGTGTGTTGAACCAACTAAATCACTTCCGGTTACAAAAAATGTTTGCTTGTGTTTGAGATTTATGGAAACCTTGTTGAAAATAGTTGGTCTTCCCATTTAATATACATGTATAAATCGAATGGAGAGTTTGTTTTTAACATATAAAATTATTATCTTGATTAATAGTAGAAATATAACCTTGATGCTCAATTAAAATGTAGGCCGCTTAAGGACTTTATACGTTTTCTAATCTTGCGACCTTCCCAGACTGAAATATTTATAGGTGTTTTAATGAAAAAGTTTGCGTTATAAACTTATTTCCTACCAGTTATCTGCCAAAAATTAAAGCATAAAGGTATGGAAGGGTATCGCTGCCACTATTAAATGCTCTGCTAAAATGTCTTTTTCATTGATTATGTATAAAGTCCTAATACCGGTGATGATAAGGGCAAAGTTAAATGTAAAACGTCAAATGCAATGTATCAAATGTTTTATTGGAAAATGCTGTTTTTTGACGTGTCTACATTTTACATTTGTCCTTCACGCTTTCTACATAGCATCTTACGCAGAGCCCTAAGTTTGATATGCAAATGAAGGATATCACATGTCTTATTAACATATACGGAAACGAGGCCAAGATCAACCTGGCATACTATAAGCCAGCACACTATAAGATATTTACCACACGATATTGAGGCAATCAACATGGCAAACTATAAGAAATTCGCTGGACGACCGTGTCAGCAATGAAATCGTGTGATTGGTATGGCTAACCCGAGCTTTTGACAAATAAGATAAATTGAAAGTATAGTCTATATTTAGTAACTAGATTACTGTTGGACAGCGACACATTTCTTTTGAGAAAACAACGAGAAATTTTCTTTCTCTAACGCAATTATGAATGTGCCAGGAAGTAACTGATAGAGCCATAGAAACATACTTTCCAGTGATGTATAACACGATAACTTGAATTTCGTATTAAGAGCCCTATTTTGACAGTTTAAAATACTCAAAATATGGACTAATTTGAAACTAATTGATTTGGACAGACGAAATTTTGGGCATTAGTAGGACCACGCAGGACCCTCCTACACACAGAGTTTTAAGTTTCTACTGCCAATGATATCTTGGTACTGGCCAAATACTCAACTCATTCTGAAAATTGTTTTAAATGAAGGGTCTATAGTTCGCTCTTGGCAGGGACTAGGACCAAAGTTGAATGTTACCCACAACTAGCACAGACATAATAAAAAAAAAGCAGAAATAAATTAAAAACACGAAAATTTGAGATAAAATGTTCCGTTATCAATACCCCAGATGCAGAATATGTATGGATATCTTTACAAATTTAATATATTCCATTTAATCATTAGCAAGGATGATTTAGGCTTGAGAAGGAGAAAAAAAATTGTGTTTAACTAACGTCCACTGGACACAAACTAGATCATTTTGGGACGAAGATGATGCATATGTTTTGTCATCTTTAAAAAGTTTATATATTCCATTCAGTCGTCAGCAAGGATGATTTTGACTTGAGAGAGAAATGAGGTTTAAGGTCCACTCGACAAAAACTAGGTAATTTTGGGACTAACATTTGATACAGTTTTATTTCAATAATTTGCGTGCGCGAAATAAGAGAGTCCGTGAAATTGGACAGACAACACTAAACCATGTTACCTACAAGCTTGTAATGCAAACCACGCCACTTAACTATATAACATACCTTATGATCTAAAGCGCATGTGTTAAACCACTTTTGACTTAACCAAGGGACAAGTTTCACGAATGTCCAATGAAATTTACACAGAATAAATTTGATATGAATATGATATAGTAATGAAATGAAACATATTTCAGCTCTCAAAAGATCACTACGTTGTCAATAACTGCAGGGGGTTCGCAGCAGCATCTCCAGTACGTTCTAGTGGCTGGTTAACCGATCACAAACTGTTACGTCTCCTGTGGATTGAAGAAATTGAAGTGTTCGAGCGTGTAACAGATTTTAAGGACGGGGGGTGGGGGGTGTAGATGACCCAGTGGCTTTGAGCCATAAACACATGATCAGCATGACTACACATGTTAAAATTGATTATCATGATATTGTTCCAATTGAAATGTTAGAATTCCATATTTACACATTATAGAGTTCGAGAGGTGCGTCTCTTCACTGTCGACTATCTTTAAATGACCGCTGATTATCACCTTTTTTTCCATGTTTAGGGACCTGAACGTGCCAAATAGGTTATTTTGGTCAAAATGTTTTACAAATTAGACCGCGCGTATTCCAATTTTTATTTAGAAGCCGATCAGTGTATAGAAACATTTTGAAGTTTTAATGGAGAGTTATTGAAAATCAGGAGACACCATACATTATATATTGGAATCTAATGAAAGTGAAGATGACATATACAGGCCAAAAACATCATTACAAAAATGGGGCCCCAAAACTAAGAACATGGGGAGGCAGGTCAGAATCTAAGTAAGTGAACACGTCTGCTCGAACATAGATATATGTCGGAGGTTGGCATGTGCAGTCAGAATTATCCTGGGTTGTCTGGTGTGCCATGAAAACTGTTGTGATCCATGCCACCTTCCACTTCGGGGATTTCAATATGGAGAGAGAGAAATGGGGTTTAACGTCCACTCGAAACAAACTAGGTCATTTCGGGACTAACATATGGTTTAATTTTATTTCAATAAGTCGCTTGCGCGTAGGGGTCTTTAGCAGTGGGAGGAAACCGGAGGACCCGGAGAAAACCCATGAGGTTGGACAGGCGACCCTACTCCTTGCCACGTACAACCGGGGATTTGAAACCACGCCAGTCGACTCAATGACAGACTTTATGATACAGCGCGCGCACGCTAACCAATCAGCCATCTAACCCCCCTATTTCAATATGGAAAGCAGATAGATATTAAATGCCTCTCCATGAACACTTAACATATTTTTTCTTGTGGTTCTTCTTACATAAGAATGTGAATAATAGATATATATATCAAGTTTATGATAGTCATGGCAGCCCATAAATCTATGATGATCTGCTCCTAAATACAGATCTTAATGACCCTGGTCTGATCACTGCATGATCTGATCATTGTGCATGACTTGTGATCTTCCCTTCGGCTATCCAGCGATCGTGAAAGTCTGATTTTGTCACGAAAACGTTACGATTTTTGACCAAAATACCCTATCTGACAGGCATGTTCAAATAACGAAACATATAGTAGTAAATGGTGATGATCAGTGATCATTTGAAAATAATCGTTGGTCATTGGTGAAAAAATGCTGCTTTGGTTAGATTGTGCCGATATAAAAGCCTTCCATGCCAGCCCATACATTTATACACTTCCCTGCTACTAACTACAGAATACATATGAGAATAATCGTTGTCTGATTCTGCAAAATTATACACCAGTTACGCCCCTCCCCTAAGATCAGAGGCGGATTCAATGGGGGGCGCGAGGGGCGCGACCCCCCCCCCCCCTAATTTTCGACAGTGCCCTTTTTTACTGCTGAAAGTGCCTTTTCTCAGACATGTCCGTTCCCAACCCGTTGTAGGGATCAAAATGACTCAAACCAACGACTCAAACACACCAGTCTGGGAAATAGCTCTTGGAATGGTGTAACTGTGATATATTCGAACATTTTTTTAAATCGGATAATAATTGTGACCTCTAGAGGGACCACAAGCTAAAACCGTGATTTTTCGTACAATCAGAGGCCATAATTGAAGTTACGATCCTATATGAGCGAATATTGAAAGGAACCGAGATCTTTGGTTTATAAACTTGCATTTCAAGTTTCATCAGAATCGGATCAAAATTGTTGCCTCTAGAGGGTCCACAACTTTGAGATACCAGGGTCCTGATTCACGAAATTTTAACTAAAGATAAAATCCAAATTTTAGTAGATACTTCAATTTTGATTGGCTAAGCACTACAATCAGTCTAATATTATCCAATCAAATTACTAAAATTTGGATTTTATCTTAGTTAAAATTACGTGAAACAGGCCCCAGATGTTTACACTATTTGCGTACGAGGGGCGGCCATTTTGTCTGGCAGTTTTGGTCCGATTTTCATGAAATTCAAACTCACGACAAAATTACGGTGTAACGGTATATATATTCGAATGTTTTTTTTTTAATCGAATAATAATCAGCTTCGGTCCGATTCTTACGAAATTCGAACACAATCATCCTTAGGCTGTAACGGTAATATATTCAAACAGTTTTTTAAATCGGATAAAAATTGTGACCTCTATAGGGTCCACAAGCTAAAAACACGATTTTTCGTACAATCAGGGGCCATAATTCAGGAAGTTATGGTCCGATATGCGCGAATAACGAAGGGAACCGAGATATGTGGGTTATAAACATACATTTCAAGTTTAAACCAAATCGGATAAAAATTCTTATCTCTACAGTGTTCACAAAAAAAAGTGATTTTTCGTACAATCAGGGGCCATAATCCATGAAGTTACAGTCCTATACATGCCAATATCGAAAGGAACCAAGATCTTAAGAATGATAAACCTATATTTCAAGTTTCACAGAAATCGGATTAAAATTGTGATCTGTAGAGTATTCACAAACAATTGTGGACGGACAGACTGGGGCGACGACAATATATGTCCACATGAAAATGTGGGCTTATAAAAAAGGTGATATAAGAAAATTATAAATATATGACCATTTCTTGAAATGTATAAATAGCTTGTTAAAATAATTAAGTTACACAAAAACCAATCTGATTAAAATACAGATCTATATTTCGTTTCATTTTTGTATACTTTCGATGGCCTACACTACATGAAGATCTGATCAGTTGTACTGGAAGGTCAAGTCAGGGGTCGTACGAGCGGCTTTTGACCCTATGACGTCAGACACTGATTTAATCAATCAGCGTTGACGTTTATACTGGTTTATCCACAGTTCCGTGCGGCGTGCATCCCACGCCAAGAAGTCGCATAACAGATGGTTTCATTGACGAATTCCTCACGCCATCCAGAACGCATGTTATATAACAACTCTTCCAGATCCTAGTGTAGTACAGACAAATAAAACGAAATTTTGAACTATAAAAAGAAACGATATAGGATCTGTGTTTTAATCAGATTGCACAAAAACCAAATCCAATAAAATATAAAGGTTATAGAATTCATTTCATACAATTCAGTTTTTCTGACAAAAATTTAACTGTAAAGACTGGGTGGGACTAACTCTAACTGTAACATCCTTTACTTATCTTCTTAGAACATGTTTTTCTACAACATTTTGGATGAGATTTTTTCTGCTCATTAAAATCTAAAATATTTTCTAACTGTGAGCGAATGATCATAATTTCATCTTTTAAGTAATCTAACTTTGTTGCTAAGATGCAATTAACATACTTTGTCATCTCTCCTCCAATAGTTGTCTCCCCTGTAGAACAGACAACACACGCATATGGCCAGCATAAAAGGAAAAAAGTTAAATAATGTGTATCTTGGATGCCCATAGAGCTTACAATATTCTCATTGTTTTTACCATTAAACAGTTTTAAAATCATCTGAGAATCACAATTAGAGAGAATAGATCTAACACTAGAATAAAGTTGCAGTGATTCTAATTCACAAATCAGGTGTTTGATGCTAGAACACTGTTCTGCATCAATTAAAGTGTTAATAGTCAACATAGAATGCTCATCTTCTAATACTTTAGCACAATTTAATAAATTATTTACAATAATTTCAACAAGTTTTTCTCCAGAAATAGGTGCACTTTTATCTATATATGTCTTTAAAAATATTCTCCAGCTAGAAAGAAAGGCCGAGACATCAGTTGGCAAGTTATTTGGTGCTGTCACACTCAGTACTTGAGATACACTAAACAACAACAGATGTATACATTCCTTATGTCTACTTAAAATCATAAAACCTCGGGGTTGTCCTACAAAAGAAAATCAGAATACATAAGGGTCTTCCACGGGATAAAAATTCATAAAATGACATATCAGCTGTATGTAATTTATATACAGTAAATATATAAATGAATTTTTATTAATAACATCGATTCATGCATTTTAAGATTATGTCCAAATTCACCGTGATTATAATCCTTAGAATTTACATTAAATTAAACGGTTAGTCTCAAAAGAGTTCAGATGTCTTAAGACTCATAAGAGTATTGTTAATTGAATTACCTGTTTCTTCATCTATACTTTTCATTGAACTGAACAGCAATGGTAGTGGTACCCAATGAGGAGGATACTTAAATCTGGCAGTGTCCATTATTAAAATCATATCACGGTTAGGATGGTATCCTCCTATAGGAGAAAAATGACCATCACCAGTCTGCCCTAATACTTTTCTTGAGTAGGATAGGACCACAAAAGCTTCATCTTGTTCAGTATAAGTTTTAACAACCTCCCGGAAACTGTTCACATCCAGGAAATCATCCGCTCGGGTTGAACGAACATTTAAATTATTGCACAAAGCAATGCACATAAACTGGTTCAAATTGATACCATTTTGTTCGACAATCTGTAATGGAGTACAGCAATCCAACATATTTTCATGGTACCAGCGCCACGGTCCCTTCCAGATTTGCCCTGGGTCAATTTCTAAAGCATTTAACACCATTACTAACGTAGACAGACCGCAAAAGGCTGGTTCATCTTGAGTTCTAAATTGAGCAGCAAGTTTAAAATAACATACTAAATGTCCAGATGATAATGCTTCCTTAAATAAAGTCTTTCCTTCATTTGAAGAGAAGGAGATGCAGGTCTCTGGTAAAGGTCTACGATAAAAGTTGGTCTTGGGAGGTAGAGATACTTGAGCGGTCATTGTATCAAACACACTGGCTACCTTGTTTACTGTATGTAAACCAAGGAATGTTGTTGAACCTGTATCATAAAAGTACATAGATACATTAAAGTCAATTTATGTTCAGTCAACCATTATAGTTAAGTTATGATAATTATGCAGCCCATATTTCCAAGAAAGTTTGATTAAAGTTTCATAGTTGAATACAGTTCTTTGTTTTGGCTTTAAGTCTCAGTGTGTCATTTACACTTTTCGCAAAATGTAAAACTTTCCACAACTTAATCCTCGCTAAAATGTACAGAAATTTATTACGTAACTTTTAACAAATGAAATAAAATCAAAATATCAACAGTAGATAATCTCTCGGCTTGGATTCAATCGGATTAATAAAGATTTCAGTGAAGTTCATGGAGGGCGCTGGCTTGTGTTGACATTCTATACATGTATCTGCAGTGTATGCCGAATGTTGACATATTTAAGGGTTCTATTATGTGTCTGCAAACATGTACACTACAGGGCCTCGTTTTTTTAGTCCCATCCACATGACTAGCTCCATTGACAGAGGAAAACCACACTGGAAAATCTGGGGTACCTTTGTAAATACTGTAAGGATTTTAAGATTCAACTTTCACAATGTTTACAAGGGTTTAACATTCCCTCAAAAGACATTTAAAGAGAACTTGCTACTTTTGTCTTTGAATACAGATGTTTAATGAAATTTTCTTTTGAAAATGGCTTGAAAAATATTAAATATATTATACCTTTTAAATTTTGCTGTGAAAACAAATTCCAACCATTTTCTCCAACTTGTATAATTCTCTTTGTTGATCTAATCATGTACATGTAGATCTATTTGAACATACAAACTGCACTGAAAATGGAATTATAAAAATTTGGAAATCATAGTTGGTGGAAAAAATCAATAATAACTTGTGGTATACCATTTAAATACTTTGGTATTACATTTAATTAAAATTTATCACCATTATACCAAACATAATATATGTAGATTATAATTTTAACATAACCTGAAAGTCCTGCATGTTTATATGGATGCCTATAGAACAACAAAAGCTTCACAAGTATAACTTAACTAAACTATGCATGTAGGTAAAGCCAACGCACATATGGTATAGAATAGAATTTTATTGCATACATTTACATACAATTACAAAGCATAAAATTACAAGAACAAAAATTATGGACGGGAACAAATTCAGACCACTCACATAACCAGACAGCACAGAACCTACATGCAGGGCACATATTACTGTATTTGAAATTACAAAACAAAACATGCGTTTTTTAAAAAATTAATAAAATATCATGCAAATTACATATCAGTTGTCTCTTCGCAAAAAAAAAAGTAAACAAAGGCTGCGATACTTATGGCTATAATACTTGGTGGGCTGAAGAGATTTTCAAAAGAAAAAGGATTTTCAAGGATTGGATATATTTTCTTAAATCTTCATATTTTTGGCATTCCATTAGAAAATGTTGTTCAGATTTAGTTTTGTTTGTATTGCATTGTTTACAGAGGCGATCCAGGGGTATCTTAATGGGCATATAGCTCTATTCTTTGGAACCTTAAAATAAACAACGGGTCAAAAAGCACAAACTAATGTAATATGAGTGTATATATAAAGTGATTTAGGCCTACATTTTTTGATTAAAATTCCAATTTCTTATCAATTATGGTTGTGGAAAAGCGTGAACAGTCTAAATTGAAAAGAACAAGTTTGCAGTTGCTTTGTCCATTCTACAGGTGTTTTTTTTTAAAAATAATTTTGTCATTTTCATTAGTTTCGCATTGTCTTGAGGGATATGTTTTTTTCTTTGTAAATTACATTTGGCGCCATTGAGTACCGGCACACAAGTTGTGTACTGATTTAAAATGTCCATTGTGTCTTCAATAGTTGATATTACAATTCCATATTTTCACAGTAATAAAGATAACAACACCAATAATGATTGAAATGGACCAACATTGAATTCTAATTCATGTTATTAATTTTGAATATTATGGATGATATTGAGTTAGAGGCCTGATTAGTCCCTTTAAAATACATGTAGCCTAATAGATAGATAAGATAAGATAAGATGTTTATTGCATCAAAACGTCCATTATGGACAGCATGCATACATATATACTTAGAGTCTTAGACATAGTCATATACATTTAATAATTAATATATATTACATAGACAACTGAATACATTCATACAAACAGTATACTACAGTAATCAAAGGGGTTTCAGTTAAATAGGGGTTTCAGTTGATATCAAAAAAGACGAGTAGGAGATATTATTTATCACCCAATCCCTTCTTACATGCACAAATAGATAAATATAATTCTTTGCTGTAGATTTCACTTTTACTGAACATTACGGCGTAGTGATACATCATTTTTTGACAGCAATTCAACCATTGCAAAGTCCATCAAGGTCAATTGAATAACAATAGTTCATTTTTAATTAAAAAAAAAGTTATTTTTAATAAGAAATGAACTGTTCTTTGAAAATAAAAAAAAAGTAGTTCCTTTTCAACTGACCAATCAAATTCATGTAAAGCGATATCTCCTAAGGAGATATCGCAGTAGATTATGAAATATATGACACAAGCGATATCTACTGTAGAATGTATTATTGGGTGATAAATGAAGTTGCCACCAAATTTGATTTAGCTCTCTTATCAAAAGTCAAAAACACATATAGAGCCACTGCCTTGGCAATCAATTTTGGTGGGTTAATGAGATTAAGAAAATTGTAGGAAATCTTAGGATTTGCTGAGAAGGCTGGGTATAAATGGGCTTGGTGTATTTCTTCATACTTGCTACAGCATAGCAAAAAATGTTGCTCGTTTTCGATCAAGTTTAAATCGCAAAATTTGCATAGAAGCTGATCAACAGGAATTTTTTTGTATCGACCCCTCTCTATTTCTAAGTGATGCGTAATGAGTCTAAGTGTGGTCATATAGCTTTCTTATGGTCTCTATTTTTAACCGAAGAGTTAAAACTCTGGAGAGTTAGTAACCATAGGCGTACGAGCTGGGGGGGGAGCGGCCGCCCCCCCATTTTGGGCACCAAATGCTGGGAAAATTTGGGCACACAAATGTACTTTGTAAAAGTTGTATAAAAAAAATATTGTGTTCTTGAATGTATCCAATTTAACAGCGAATTTATTATTATTATGTAACATACTAAGAACCTAACTACATTTTTTGGGCACCAACTACCACCGCCCCCCCCAGTCAAAAATTTCCCCATACGCCTATGTTAGTAACAGTAGGTTTTGAAATGAAATATGTACGTAATTTGCTGTTATTGGAGTTAGAGGATATGTGGTAGAAGGAGTTAAATTTTGATTCAAGGGATTTCTTTATATTCTCTTTATTTAGCAAATGAACATGATTTATTTGGAGTTCCGATGTTAAATTATTGATTGCAGCTGACCAAGATAATTTTTCATTTTTAGAGGATATATAGTTTTATCTTCAGAATAGGCTGCTGAAAGTAGAGGAAATATTTGTTTCATCCTGACATCGTTTAGCCTTTTATGATACATAAGCATGCGGGTATAAGTGTCTAGATAGCGTTAGTGGGAAGATTCCTAGTTCCGTAATACATCCAAGGTTGGTCGACTTAAGTGATGATTCAAATTCAAAATGGATTTGCATATTTTTATAGTTAATTGGTTTAGATTAAATTATTTGTTCCATTTTTCAACTGCGAATAAGATCACTGCATTTAATGACAAAACTAGGCCTATATAATATAGAGATCTATGTTAGAATGTATATAATAAATCTACTAAATGTAACAGAAAGAGTGAATGATTACCAACGTTATAAATGTAAATATTTAAATAGTAAAGTTGCACAGGCCTAATATAAAAATAATAGGCTACTTTTATAAAATATTTCTTGGTTGATATTAGTTCAGCTCTGAACGTAGGTCTCATTACTCGCGAGTGTAATGAAACCTACGTTCAGAGCTGAACTAGTTTGATATTAGTAGGCCTAGCTTATGAAAACAACAACAAAATTACTTACAGTACAGATTTAAGCTTATGCCTATAAGTGATACTATGATCTTCTGGTCATCGACACGAAATAATATAGGTTAAGGAAGACGGTACAGATGAGTATTAATATGATTCCCGTACGACTTCGTTGTTGAATGACGTATCCAGAGAATCAGGTTAAAGGGAGTTAACTCTATGTTATCAACCGGAATAACACCACACTTCTTTTCTTTAGTGGACTCAAACTGCACCCAGCGATCCATCTACGTCATACGTCATTATGATCACTGCCCTTGTTAGCCTCCATTTAAAACGCCCACATAATCATTTTGGGACGGGACTTATCGACTGGACCACAGCTTTGTGTACACAACAGAGTAAAAATAACCTGATCAAGCACGTGTTTTATGTAAACACATGTCTTTAGCAAAATGTCAACTTCTGCCAATCCGGTAAAAGCGATATATATGTGCTAGTGGTAATATTGCAATACATTCTTTGCCATTGTAAACTGTCTTTAGAGTTTCAATCTGTTTATCTTTCAAAACAAGGTTAGATACTCTTTCATTTCCGGAAATTAAAGTTAAACCTCAGGGAAACACATTTTAGGAATTCTTGACTTGGCTCAAAGAGTCAGGAAATGACTTATTGAGGATCTCGTATCGTGCTACATTGTTTTTAAATAGTAACCCACATGCAATGATTTATAAATGACAATCTTGTCTACATTTTCGGGGGTGCATAAGTTATCTCTTGATTTCGATAGATGTGTTATGGGAAAACGCACCTGACAACATTAAACTGTAGGTATAGCTAACAAACGCAATACCATTTCGAAATTTATAAATTGGATACAGGCATGACGTTTCTTAGAATATCTTTGTGTGTATCAGTTTTGTGCTGTACCAATTCACTTGTTTTGTTAACACCGACTCCTTACCCAACACCCAAACCTGTAAGTTAAATATTTTGATCTGCGAATTTTGATTTGTGCCTTAAATTTATAATTTTTTCATACGCAAAATAAGTAAAATCAGGTTAATTATATATATGATCTCAGTTTTCAGCATCTTTGATTTCTATTTCAAATATTCGAGATGATCTTTTATGCTTTGTCCAAATATAAAATCAAGTGACTGTGTCCTCGTTTGTGTTTCAATTGATTATTTCTTTTGCTGTGTTCCAGCATTTTGCCTAATTTCAGTATGTTGTAACAATTCAAATTTCAGGTAAAAATTGAGATGAAATGTACTCCCGATAAAAAATTTGAAGACTGTCCACAAGGATATTGTTGCGTTAGAGATGAGTTCTTGCCAACTTACGTTTATTGTAGACGTTTTGGACAATCCGGAGAAGCCTGCACAACACAAGATTATACCCTTGCAAGCTGTCCGTGTGCTGTTGGCTATGGATGTAAACCAAAAATTATAAGTGACGGCGTTCCATTCCTATTTGGAACTTGCACTAAGGATTACAATGTAGTAGGCTAGCTGACGATCTCTTGCAAAGTCAGTTATGCTAAACTATTCTTATAGTTTATTAATGTTAATCATATTAAAATAATTCACCTTCTTCTATCAAATAAAGATTTTGACACCCTTTTCTAATTTTACTGACTAAGATATAATCATATAAATTTAATTTTAAAAAAATGATTAACATTTTATTTTGTTCATTTATTTCTGTCTTTTACGCTGATTTATTTATGTCGTTTACGCTGCTGCACTTAATGTAACCTAGCCTATACTTTAGGAATGTCGATGAAAAGTTTTACCAAGAAAGTATGAGTCGTTATTTGCGGGTAAAACATCAAACATTCTAAGAGAGTAAAATAATTCGATGGGATGAATAAAAAAAGAAGAGACTATTCATTAATGGCCACAGAGAGAGAGAGAGAGAGAGAGGGAGAGATGGGGTGGGGTGGAGGTTAAATATAATTCAAGCCATAATTATAATCCCGCAAAACCAATCAATGTCCCTCTTATAATTGCCAGCAATACCACAGTCCCGAATATTTGATTAGTCAATCCGTTCACATAATCCGATGTCCGATGTCAGTGTCGGCTATGATGGAACGATAGTAATCATATGTGAGCGTGCAAAAGAGCCACACCTCTTGATGTGGATGAAAAAGATTTTGTAACCAAATCTCTACACAGGGGACAATTAAACAGCTAAGGATTCGCCCCGTCACAAATCCAAATAACAAATCAGATCAATTCAGCAATTTAATTTGACTTTAACCAAAGCGTTCCTGTTCATGTACTTGTTTAGTTTGCATCAATTAGCTCGTTCCAGAATAAAGATTGTGTTGAAATTATATCTTTAACATTTCTTTCTATAATGTTTTATCATAATTTATAAGTCGTAATTTAAAAGAATATGGAACAACTAAAAGGTTATCGAAACCCATGGACGGTTAAATTGTCTTATCTTTTGGTTCAGACTGTTTTAGATGGGAAAGTACATATGGCAATAAATTTAGTTCGAATAATAGTAAAGGATTCAAACGACGTCTTTGAACCGAAACATCTGGAAGATGTTGTGTTCAAAATTATTGGTGTGTTTAACAATATTATATTGCGTACCTTTACTGGAGAGTGTAAACCCAATACCTACCCCTTATCCAACACCACAACCTGTAAGTTGAACTCACTTTCCTTTCTATATTGTTTTGAATGTATATTACAAGTACAATGGTATATAAATTGAAGGGAATGAACTGGGGTTTAACGTCTTGTCAACAGAATACTTTGTTGAATTTGAGACTAACATAAATTATCTACTAAGACACTATGGACACACTAACTGGTTTGTCTGAAATTGCTGGTGAGATATAACTCAGCTGAAATTTGATATTTGCCATGATTGTAGACTGGGCATATACCTACACAAGAAAATAAACAATAATCCACAGAGGTCAAAACAACTTTTTAGTGAAACGTAGGCATAAGGGGTAAAAATCGAAATTCTGTAACGGCATTGAGTCAGAACTGGTAGTCGACGACGAACACTGTCAGCATCAATGTGCCCATGTGGACTTTTACAGTAGTAGCACTACGGAAAGATAGAACGTGCGATCTTGTTAATTTTGCTGGATAATGTTGTGCCAGTCTTGTCGAGACTGTGACGCGTTGCAGTCCAGGCCATGGCCGATATCTTGTGAACCCTGGCTCGCAGGCTGGAAATGATCGGCCAGTCTCAGGATCGTAGTGTGACGGCATCCAAACCTTCCGACGACTGCTCTATTACTCATGCACTCTAGAATAAAACGCAATGGCGGATTCTCGGTGGTCAGGTGTTAACCTTGGCATATCGTTGCGCCTTCCACAAAACTGCATCGACCCTTTTTAAAAGGCGCATTTTATACCCCATGTCTGATTTTCAAAATTCCCATGCTGCATAATGTGCCACCCATTACAGACTATGGAAGACGACCACCGTTAAGATCGGTCGCATTATTTCTTTAAAAATATTCCTATCCCCATGTACCTGTTCCCCGACTCTGTCTTTCGATTATTTGGCCAGGCTACAAAGTTTTCCTTTAAGAATTCCACAATTTTTCTCAGTCAAAACACTGAGAGCTGCAGAATTCAAATTTGGTTTACGCCTTCTCTAGGTAGGCTCCATTTTGGCTTTTGACAAACTGACAGACGACCATTGCTTCTATGTCACGCGCTATGATGTAGTAAACAAAAACAAGCAAATTAAAGGCTTGAAAATAACATTTTATTCATTAATTGACAGTAAAATCTTAGTATTAAGACTAAAAAACCCCAGGAATATACCATTTTCGTCGTATTCACAAAGGTAAGAAGGATAAAATCAAAGATAAAGGTAACCAATGCAGGCATTTTCAAAAGCAGACCGTGGGAATGTTTACAGAAGTATAATGGAGTCCCGAATATGAAGTACCCAAGAGACTTTAGATCTTCTGGGAAGTACCGACCATTCGTTACGTAAAATGAGAAAAAACTAACATCGAACTTTTCTGAAACTAGCGTATTTATTGCTTGCAATGTCTGTGTAGTTTGTACTTTGTGTCTTGTCCGTAGGGTTTTCTTATCGTAGTGATGTCCTCTTTCACTGACTACATTTACAAGTGAGAAGCGACTTTGAAAATTCTCAAACCCTGGAAATTCTAATGGAAAAGCAAGTTTTACAATTGAATTGCTGCTTTGTCTAGAAAATAAATATCCTTCTATTTTGAAAAATGACCCATATTTAAAAGTAAGCACGCCCAATATGTCATTTAATGGTATTGTATAAGATTATAGTCGATTGTAAGTCCAGATACAAAAGTTGATTGAACTCTTTCAAAATGTGTCAAATTTAATCTTTGTCTCTGGAAGATGGTCGGTCCCAAGAGATATCCTGTGATCTTGGTGCAGAAAGTGTAGCAGGATTAGTCTGAAACTAAAGTGATTCATAGCTCGAACTCATAGCTCTAGGAGGTCCACAACCTTGTTATACCAGATGTTCACTCTATTTGCGTATAAAAATAACATGTAGGTGAAATTTACCTTTCGTTATCAAGTACAGCACGTGGGTCATGCACTGTATAGACCTCTAAATTAACGGTATAGATTATCAGTGGCCTGTTTCACAAAATTTTAACTAAGTTAAAATCCCAATTTTAGTAATTTGATTGGATAATATTAGATTGATTTTAGCGCTTAGCCAATCAAAATTGAAGTATCTACTAAAATTTGGATTTTAACTAAGATAAAATCCAAATTTTAGTAATTTGATTGGATAATATTAGATTGATTTTAGTGCTTAGCCAATCAAAATTGAAGTATCTACCAAAATTTGGATTTTATCTTTAGTTAAAATTTCGTGAAACAGGGCCCAGGTAAACCAAAGAAAGGATTGAGCCGAAATCTTAAAGGGTTACGTGTCCGGATAAGCAGTTTTGACGTTCACGTCCAAAAAGACTCAACATTGTGAGCTGAAATTTTGGGACAAGGTAAATACACCATTCCTCGATATTTTGGCGCTTGAATTTCATACGTACACGGACTTTTATTTCTGAGACTGTTAAAATCTTTAAGAAAACAAATTCACAATATCAACAGTAGATAGATAATCTCCTTGCCTGGATTCAATCGGATTGAAAAAGAGGCCCACGGAAAGATTATCAAGAGTGTAACCATTTTGATAACCGGAA